TTCTTGAGCGCGGCGTACTTTCGGAGGAAGAAGCCATATTGCTGCTGGCTTCAAGTGACTCTGCCTAACACATCGCAGTAACGGAAGTTCCTAGATGCATTACCTACAGTGCGCGCTTTAATATCAATTCCCTGAATGACTACGAGACAAGGTTTTACTTTCGCTTCTGGATACAAGATCTCTTTCGATTGTTCGAAGCATTCTACCTTGAGGGCACCTATCGGCTTCCAAATCGAGTTGGGTTTTCAAGTTTCGAAGGGCTTTGCGTCCTCTTGCGTCGCATGACATATACCGGCCGTTATGGTGACATGTGCTGCTTGTTTGGATGATGGGGTCCGGTCATCTGCATGATTTTCAGTTTTATTCTGCGGCTAGTGTACGTCTAGTTCAAGAGCCTTCTTGCGATTGAAAGCGGTCTACTGACAATTTCGAGGCTGGAAGCATATGCTGCTGCTGTGAGGCAACGGGGAGCACCAGAGCCAAAATATATCGGGTTTATTGATGATACGGTGCGTGGTATTGCTTGCCCCACGAGAAATCAAAAGCAAGTCTACAATGGCCACGAGAGGAAACATGCTTTAAATAACCAATGTGTGATGGCTCATGATGGTCGCTTCATCGACTTTTATGGGCCGTATGTTGGTCGCCGCCATGGCCCGTGGCTGCTAAGACAAAGTGGACTGTTGAATATACTCCCTCATGTGCTGAATGATGGGTATAACACATCTTATTGCATCTACGGCGACCCAGCATACCCAATGAAGCCAAATTTGCAAGTCGGATTCAAGGGCTCGAAGCTTACAGAAGATCAAATCGCATTCAATGCGGCAATGAGCAAAGTTCGAATTGCGGTGGAGTGGGGATTTGGCGGTATCGTTCGGCTCTGGCCGTTTCTTGACATGAGACTAAGTCAAAAGCTGCATCTATCTCCGATGGGAACACACTTCGTGGTTGGTGCGCTCCTAACTAACTTTCGCAACTGCACGAATCCTAACCAGAGCAGTAGTTTTGTTTTTCGATTAATCTGCCCAGTTTGGAAGAATACGTAAGACTAGCTACCTCGCTACGAATTGTACTTGCTGATCACTGTCTTAAGCATGTCAATGACTGCAAGTCTTTCATTCCGCTCTAGTTCCATCCAGAGTTCTTGTAGCTCGAGACGGCGTTGCTCCAGAGTGAAACGCTTTTCCTCATTGGAAATTTTGCGCTTGTCCAGCTCATGAGCAACGCCATCACGTTGGTCAAGGTACGCCAAGAGCTGCTACTGCTGCTGGTGTGATTCTCCTGCTTTCCTTTGCCCACGCTTCATCCCGTTCATTAGTGCGTCCGCATAGCAATAGCTTGCCCGTCCACTTGCCGCTGTTGGTCCTTCTGCTGCTTCTTGTCATTTTTGAGTAGCATCTCCATTTTGCGCATCTCCAATACCTCAGCTAGACACTCGTCCTTCGGCGTGTAATCTTCGCACGGTCCGCTCCGTCGTTCGCTTGCCTTTTTCTTTGCCTGGTATGCATCAAGGAGGTGATTGCAGCGCTCACGACAGAGGCAACCATCCACGACTACTGCTACCGCAGCAGCAACATCAGCCCGTGCCTGTGTTTTCTCCCCGTAGTCCTCGCCAAACGGATTTCTCGCTTGCGCCTCCTCGATCAGTTGGAAATCAAGTTCGTCTGTAAACCGAACCATAGGATTACGACGCTTAGCCGGCAGACCATCACTCAACGAGTTGGTATGCTGCTCACTTGGTAGCTCGTTAGAAGTCGCCATCTCAATCGTATTCTAGTGAATTGGGAATGACTACCAGTTGTCGCTCGAGTACCAACGTGTACAGAGACTTCTGGACGTTCGAGGCAAATCTCGAGCAACGTGTAGCACACGTCTGTGAAGGTGGGTTAGGGTGGTATCTGTCACTTACTCCCCCAAGTCGCTTTGCGAAGCCTCTCTATTGAACTGGTCACAAGAACGGGTACTGTACAATTAGACGTTGCAGAGTATTCAGAATAATCGTTGACACCTCTCAGATAAATAGATAGGGCGAGGTACACAGTGCAGTTAGGAACCAGTGCTCATATATTTTATTTAGTGAGTGCACTGAAAGCGTTCGCAACCAGTGGTTGTGTACCACTGCTGAGTATTTGTGCCTAACTCCCTCATAGTTCATTTCACAACGTCTTCTGCGGCTCTCAAAATCGATCAATTCATTACTCGTAAGCTCTAACAATACCAGTCAATCGTGCGCACGTGTATCCTGATATCTATTGCAGTTATACTATATGCTAGCTACAACCCCGTTGTCAATGCAACTGCGAGCGTACGCCACATCAAGAGCAAAGATTCTGACGCCTTCTCACCGGCTTTGCGAGTCGGTGATACGACTAACAAAGAATAAGATAATGGAGAGGACAGAGTGGGTGGGACAACTATTGTCATGTGGGCTCATAACCTCGATCGTGAGAATATGTAGTGTCTACTGGTAGAAAGACACGCGAGGGGAGTCGGCAGGCTCCCACGAAATATAGCCGTAGTCTATTACTTGGTAAAAAGACAAGTGAGTAGTTCTATTCTACTTGTAGCTGGCGCAAACGCCTGCCTGAGCTCCTCCTTAAACACCGCGTACGTACTAAAAACACGAAGGATCCGTGCGCTACCGTCCATATGCCCATCGCCTTGCTCGTCCGCCAAGGCACGACGTGGCAAACGCGCCCACCGACGCCTCGTCGACGATGCACCGAGCCGTGATTGCAGTTTCAGCTACGACAAGCCATCGGAGAAGAGGTTCATTCTATTTTCCCACATTCTTAGTCATATGGAGTTTCAAAGACTGCACGCGTGATGTGCCGGACAACGCTATAGTAGCAGTAACAGCATCTCGTTGTTCATTCGCAATGAATTGACACCGCGGTGCTCTGTCGGCGACAACGCTCGTTGCATCGTCGCTACGGACACCTCTTCGATGACAGTTACCACTATGGATCCGACAAAAAAATGGCAGTCTGCACGCGCGACATGCAATGCAGACCCACTCGGGCTACTCGTGGACGGTTTAGTGATTATTGGGTCCACGGTGAGGGGGGGGTATTCTAAAGCTCCAGTCGTGTTTCTCATGAAAGAAGGAAGAATAACCCGTTTGGGTTGTGTAGAAGAGGCGAAATCGCTCTTTCTCATGAACTTTAAAAATTTACGGGCGATTTTCTGTAGTACTGTAGCTAACGAAAGGGATCAAATGCCCAATTGGAGGCCTAATACCTTGGTCTTCTGTAGTATAATATAGCCAGGTCAAACGTGACTAATCATGAAAGGCTCCAGCTTATGTTGAGGCTACTTTCGCTAAATGATTTTTTACTACAATGGGAAAACGTCCGGCAAATTAACTGTAAAAAAACTCACACGAATGCTACGCTTTTTTATGCACACATATATCAACAACGTAGACCTAAGTATAGTGCATTGACTATATTTGTGGAATGTTCTGTCGTCAAAATCCATTTTTCATGATATATAAATGTGTCTAAAGCTAATAATTATCTCTGTCCAGTGCTCTGCGGCTTGGTGGTGGTGCACAGATAGGTAAAAAAAAATCTTTGTTTTTCTCAATAGTAAAGCGAAAGATTTCACAACTTTCTACGTAGTACTGTGTCTCACACAATGTGTTGCTTCTACTGTTTGTTGTTCATTCATTACTTGACCATATGAAAATTGAGTAATTTTGACACTGAATCGCAATTCAGCTTAGGTAAACAGAAGAGATTTGTTGAATTAGGGACACTACTCATTTACCGAAGTTAGGACAAAGCACAAAAAGATGTATTATACTTCTTTGGTCCACAATAATATGCGCGATTAAGTTTTTTGTGGTGCACACAATACATTTTATTGGCCAAAACTCAACCAGTAGGCAATACAGCAATGTGCTCTCTCGCGCCAGTAATTTCAACGAAAACTAACCACTAATTCCTACTCTCTCACAAAGCTTTCATCCCAACACAATGCGCACGCGGGGTGCCAAAGAAATATCTCCGCAGGTCCGCGTAGCTGTCGCTCTGTTTTTAGCTGTTAGGTCAACCAGCGACAAAGTGCAAAGAGGCTGTATTAAATCTGCGGCTGAACGGTTTAAGATCTCTCGCCATTAAGTGTCCGCGATATGGAGCAACCGCGATAACTTCGAAGCTGTTGTTACCCCTCCAAAACCAAGAGCCCGTGGACGCACACAACCTTCTCCAGCGGAAATCGCTGGCAAAATTCATGAAGCGCTCATAAGCGCGCGCCAGACTTTGCGCTGTCTCGCCTCGGCTACTGGCATTCCTAAGACGACGTTGATGTGCCCCTTGGCTGCAGGTGTCTTTCGTCGTGCTACGACTCGTGTTAAGCCGAAGCTGACAGACGTGAACAAGGCACACCGCTTGGCTTGCTAGAAGCCAAATAAAAGCACGGTTTTACCTAAAGTGTCGCTTAAATCATATGTAAAATTGACCATAATTTTTCAAATAAATCCTTACTTGTCTGCTATTGGATAAATCTATAAGTGAATGCGAATTTCATCGAAAAAAACCACAATTTATTTCCGTGGTGTCTCTTCCATAAAAGCAGCGTATTAGAGATAAAACAGAATTCATGCAGTAGCCAGTATCAAGAGGATCCAGCAGTATTTTTCAGCGTGAATATCGCTAACTTGCCTAAGTTTTACGAATAAAAACCTAATAGGCCCCGGAAAACCGAGCGTACTAACGATGTCCTAGTGCTCATTTCGAAACAGTTTTCCCCAGCAAAAATCCCCCGAAAACAATCTGACGATGGTATTTTTGTTGTCTAATTCGTTCTGAGGCCGATACTACACCCAAAAAACCGAAACGCGCATATTATCGTCGACCAGAGAAGTATCATTTTCTGAAATTAATAGTGGCGGACATAGCAAATATTATGGTACTTCCAAACGGTACAGAATGACCAGTGGGTAAGTTGCACTACATGGTTTTATTGTTATTGCGGTAGAGAGGAAACTTGAGCAGAATCCGCTTGGCAAATTGCTAGTTCTCTGGATTTTAATCCAGAGTTGGTAGTTGGCTATAGTTACTCAAGCCAGTCGGCCCCTGGGACATTGGGCACGTGGACCTGATTGGCCCTTACGACGAAGATGGGTACTGTAAAACCATGATCGAAGACACGACACGTTGGCTCGAGGTCACTGTTCAACCCGAAAAGGACTATCTAGCTACCGCAGAGAGCTTCGACAGTGGTTCTGCTGATATCCCAGCCCAAGTTAAGTCACCCACGATCAAGGACCTGAGTTTACTGGTGAGTAGTTACAAGTCCTCTCGCAGAACTACGGTGTTAAGGCGAAGCCCAATACCGTGAAGAGCCCGCAAGCCAAAGCTATCTGCGAGAGGGCTCATCTCGAACTGCTTTACATCATCCGATGCTATAAGAATGTCGACTGAAAAAAGCGCTACACTTCGCAGCGTTCGCTGTGCCTGCCAGTTAGCACTGTATCCTGAATGCATCGCCTAACCAGCTAGGTCTCGACCAGGGCATGGTTAATCCCAAACCGCGTCAAGCAAACTAGTGCAATGTGTGGAAGCAAAGGTTCGAATTGACACTCGCTGACAACCATCGCAAGAACAACAAGCGCATCGAGCAATTTTACAATCCTAGAGACACTGTGATGCTTCGTGTCCCCAATGTATTTCTATCCAAGACAAAAGGCTATTGCTCCCGGCCCGTACACGATCAAGCCAATTCACAACAACTGCACGGACAACATTGACAAGGGTACAACGACGCTGCAAGTCAGCATCCGATGCATTTCCACCAGTTAATCACACAGGCCCATGAGGGAGTATGTCATGGCTGTCTGTATAATATGATGAATTTGATGGCGCTAAACAAGAATAAGAACGCGAGAAGATCCACCGCGATAAAGAAGATTGAAAATAGTTTGAATGTTTGTAATTTAAAACAGTGATAGAGCCTGACCGCTTGTCCATACCTTGAATTCACTTTCCATGTCTTCCTTCTCAAGCTGGGGTCGACCATCACAAGAGCGACCCACTGCCAGCCAAGGCCGTCACTCAAGTTCAAGGCTCCCCAACTCTGATCGGCTTGTCATATGCTAGCCAAGGGGTGCCAGGTAGGTCCATTAACACCATTGATAGTTTACGTTGCTCCAATTTGTATGTTACTTGTAATCTAAACAAATATGCAATGGTCATTGGGACGACTAATTTATTGCTATCGTTGGCGTATTCCAAGCGTAGGGATTACTATGAAGGGGATCGTCTGTATCTATTTGCAACTGTATTGCTATTCCGGTACTAATACTTTTTCTGTACTAATAGTACATTACTTCGATCGAAGTATTAATTCGTTTACATCTAGTTTTCCCAGCCTCTACTCTGGCACAAGTCCTGCATCAGCGGCAGCTGTCGTAACGTTCATGTAAAAGATAGTTTTAAAATGCCGCCGAACTAAGTTTCAACAACAATCGGGGTGCCGCCTTTAGCCCTCCACAGTGGTCGTGTTCTATTCGCAGTGAATCTATCAGTCGGCACAGATATTGCAACGGCTCGATATTTAGAGCGGTATGATAGGCAAAAGAAGTTGTTATTAATGACTGAACATCATTAATACAAGAAGCAAAAATATACAAAAAGTCGCCTCAGTTACGAAGGACGCAGCATTCGTAACTTACGCGAATATGCTTTGCTAAACGTCACAGCTTCTTCAAATAAAGCACGACTTTGAGTTGAATGGCCCCTAGATACGTGTATCTGGCCAGCATCCACCGTTAATGTACATGAAGTTCCTAGCGCAGTTATCTGAAGGCAACCTTTCTCAATAAAAAAGAAGTAACCACACCATAACCGAGCTGTGCGTGGTCAACCCACACTCCTGTTCCACTTAAGCTTGCAAAAAGACCCCCCCCCCCCCCTCCCCACCATTTCTGCGGTTCCGCTTGGCTGCTAAAACTGTACTTGTCATGATCAACCCGAATATACATATTGGTATTTGACTAATAACCGAAAGTGGTATCTTTTCACGAGACACATGTTGGTTGTTATGGACTTGACACTCTTACACTGCTTAACTTCCGGCTGGTTTGATACGACCATATCCTTTGGCTTTGTGCAGCTTCTGCAGTGCGTTGAATGCTTGCTGGTACTCCTGATATTTTGTGGTACTCATACCTTGTAGGACAGATGCTGGATTGACCTTGTATAATCCCCAGTCGAGGTCAAAACGGCGAACCAACGCTTTCAGGTCACTCTTGGGGATGGTTCTTTCTTCGAAGTCGGCAGCAGTCGTACGGTGGGCGTGGTTGGTCCTCAAAAACCGTTGGTCGGCCACGGTAGCATGACTGGTAGCCAGGAAGGTAGCAGCGATCACCGCAAAGACGATAGATAGACGCATGAAAAAGCTGAATGGCTGGGTGGTTGAGCGTGAGAAAGAAAATTGTGAAGTGAGAGACGTAGAAGAACGACTTTTTGTGTACCACCAACGTTGTGGCCCGGTTGGGTTATATATAAATATGTACACATATTTCTCAATATCGAACGATAAACGTCTTTTTTTTTTTAATTTTTCCAGATGTTATATGGGAAGCATGGATCCAATCCTTTCACGATACAGCAACCAGTTTGATAATACCGTAAACCGTTTTGTAATTAAAAAAATAATTTTCAGATTAAAGTGAAAAATCCGTTTGATATGGTTTTTGTGAAGGCATCCAATTGTCATGTGTCGGAGGTGTCTTGTGTAAGTATTGGGCCAATACATGTAATGTACTCTATACTGCACGGATGAATAGTGTAACTTGGATCATTATTACGGTGACGATAATAAAAATCCTTCGAGTATCGTGAAGTTCAACCATACGTTTCATCACGTTACTACTAATTAGTATTTAAAGGTGAATCGTTTGGTGATACCACTTTTGGTCTCATCTAACAATTTCCGTGATTAAACATTTGATGCACGGTTTTTCAAAGAGGCATTGAAGATACCGATTGTTGCATTCCTCACATAATCTCTCACAACGTCGTGTTCTGCTCTTTGAAGTACCACTTAGTTTTAAGAACATGTGCAAGGATTATTAAAACTGGCATTTGTAAACTAGAATACAACACTTGTTTTTTTCTTTAATTGATCGCTTTTATGCTTGTACATTACGTCGCAAAACATTGTTCGATGGGGCATAATATCACCTGAGGAGGGTGACGGGATGATAAGACAATAAGGTACTAGAGTTTTTTTCTCGTATTGACTGAAGTTTTTTTTGTTTAGATTGGAGAAATTCTCATTATCTAGCTATTATTGTAAATGACTGTGACATGGTGACAAAATCAGCAGACATCTGTCATTCCGCAATAATAACCCAAGGTATAGTTTCGAGTACCTTTTTTTTCAGAAGCAAAAACGGTATTTGATCGAACTCATACACTCTATGCGAGGGGATAGGGTTAGATTATCTATCACAGTCAAGCAATTTTTTCATCCAGTGGTAACAAAACTGACAATTGTCTTTTTATAGATTATGAGATTAACAGAACAGTATTGAATTGTCTTATGCCCTTCGTAAAGCAGCACAATATGCCAGATGCTTTAAGTTATACATGTTGTGTCAAAATGCTGCTACAATTGAATGGAGTAAGGCTCACATGCGGCATAAAGCCTCTTGATTGATTTGATTGTTTTCTTTTTATCGATAGAAGCCTTATACGCATGAAGATATCTGGTACATTTCTGTGGAATACTCTCGGTATTTTAATCCAATCCATTTTTCACGCCTATTACAGTACCTATATTGGCGTGCATACGCTTTTCCAACAATGCCAAGGTGCGCCAAATAATCCTCATTCTTTGCCATAAGATGGACGTGGTGCGGCAGGTTAGCTTCAACAGAGCGAATGTAAGAATGTTCTAAGCTGTCAAGGGCTCTACTATCTCGTACTCAATCTAAATCATAGTAAAAGTAACACTTCGACATTGGGAAAAATTCGTCTGCAACTGCTCCAACTTACGATTGTCTCCGTTTCCTCAGCAATCTTCAAGTAGCTGTCCAGCACAACGGAGACTTAGCTTGTTTTCCTTTCAGCTACCTTAAAGGACTAAAATTAGCTGTTGAACCTTTATAACGTTGAAATCCACAACTGCTCTGGGCCTTTGCCCGTCTTGTGACGTTCTAACAGAATGCAATGGCGTATACAATAGCATAACATGATGTCTCAGCAGAGAATTGTCACGTAGAAAAACTTGCTCGATTTCCATACAAATTTGTTGGGTTATGAAGCGTGACGCTAATCGAGAGGAAAAAAAATGTGCGCTGATGACGCGTGACGCTAATCGAGAGAGAAAACAAGTGCGCTGATGACGCGTGACGCTAATGGATCGATTCCAGCAGCCATTTGAGGCCATTAGAATCCTAGACTGGTGTCCTTTCTCTATGCTAACCTCTTTGATTTTGGAGTTTGGAAGGGG